CCCCACTGAAAATATTAGACAGATCATTGAGGCATTAATCAAACCAAAATATTCAGAACCTGATGTTGATGCTTGACCAAAGGGACCTAACAAATATCTTCAGAACACTCCACCCAAAAACAATAGAAAATTTAATCTTCTCATCTGCACAGGTCACATAATCTAAAAATGATGACACAATAAGCTATAGAGCAATTCTGAACAAATTTTTAAAGAATAAAATTTAACCATCCACATTCTCATACCAATAAAAATAAAAATCTATATAAAGAACATATCTGAAAACCATACAATTATATGGAAATTAAGCAATCTTCTCCTGATTGACTTTTGAGTAAACAATGAAATTAAAGCAGAAATCAAGCAATTATATTAAAATAATGAAAACAAAGATACAATACACCAGAATATCTGGGAAACAGCGAAAGCAGTGTTAAGAGGAAAGTTTATAGCACTAAACACTCACATCAAAAGGTTAGAACAATCTCAGATTTACAACCGAACATCACAATAGATGTTAAGAACTAGAGAAACAAAAGGAAACCAAACCAAAAGCTAGCAGAAAATAAATAACCCAAATCAGAGCTGATCTGAATAAAATCGAGACACAAAAATGTAAAAAGTTCATTATTTAAAAGAATAAATAAGATTGATATGCAGCTAGATTGACTAACAGAGAAAAAAAGAGAGGAGAGCTAAATAAAAACAGGCAGAAATGAAAAAGAGGACATTACCAGTGACCTCACAAAAATGCAAAATCCCTCAGAGACTACTAAAAACACCTCTATGAACACAAATTAGAAAACCTAGAAGAAATGGATAAATTCCTGGAAACATACAATGTCCCAAGATTGAACCAGGAAGAATTTGAAACTATAAACAGAACAACAACGAGTTCTGAAATTGAATGAGTAACAAAAAATTTACAAAGTAGAAAGACTTCTGTACTGAAAAAATTCACAGATAAGGGACTGGGTGCGGTGGCTCACGTCTATAATCCTAGCACTTTGAGAGGCTGAGGTGGGAGGATCACGAGGTCAAGAGATCAAGACCATCCTAGTCAACATGGTGAAACACTGTATCTAGTAAAAATACAAAAATTAGCTGGGCATGGTGACATGCGCCTGTAGTCCCAGGTACTCAGGAGGCTGAGGCAGGCGAATCACTTGAACCCAGGAGGTGGAGGTTGCAGTGAACCAAGATTGTGTGACTGCACTCCAGCCTGGCAAAAAGTGAGACTCCATCTAAAAAATAAAAAGTAAACAAATAAATAAATAAATCACAACCAAATTCTACCAGATATACAAGGAAAAGCTGGGTCAATCATACTGAAACTGTTCCCAAAATCCAGAGGGGAGAGATTGCTTTCTACCTCAGTATATTAAGCCAGCAACATTCTGATACCAAAACCCAGCAGAGACAAAGCAACAACAACATAAAGTTTCAGGCCAATATCTTTGATGAACATCAATGCAAAAATTCTCAACAAAGTACTGCCAAACCAAACCCAGCTGCACATCAAAAAGCTTATCCAACATAATCAAATAGGCTTATTCCTGGGATTCAAGGTTGGTTCACCATATTCAAATCGATAAATATGATTCATAACATAAACAAAACTAAAAACAATAGCCACACAATCATCTCAATAACTGTGGAAAAGGTTTTTGATAAAATTTAATATCCCTTTATGTTAAAAGCCTTCAACAAATTAGGTATTGAAGAAACATACCTCAAAATAATAAGAGCCATCTACGATAAACCCACAGACAACATTATACTGAATAGGCACAACCTGGAAGCATTTCATTTGAGAACCAAAATGAGACAAGGATCCCCAGTCTCACACTCCTATTTAATGTAATTTTGAAAGTCCTAGCCAGAGCAATCAAGGAAGAGAAAGAAATACAAGGCATAAAAAAAAAAAAATACCTGATGTAAATGACGAGTTGATGGGTGCTGACGAGTTGATGGGTGCAGCACAGCAACATGGCACAAGTATACATATGTAACAAACCTGCACGTTATGCACATGTACCCTAGAACTTAAAGTATAATAATAATAAAAAATTTTAAAAAAGGAAAAATAAATAAATAAATAAATAAATAATTAGGGAACAGAAGCAATATATTGGTATGTGAATCCGATCTCAATAAAGCTGTTACTTAAAGAGGAAAAAAAAAAAAGAAAAAGAGAGAAAGTCACAGTATCTCTCTTCACAGAGAGCATGATTATATACCCAGAAAGCCCCACGGACTCTGGACGAAAGCTCAAAGATCTGGAAAACAACATCAGCGATGTTTCAGGATATAAAATCAATGTACAAAAATAACTGGCATTTGTATGCACCAAGAACATCCAAGCTGAGAGCCAAATCAAGGATGCAGTTCCATTCAGAATAGCCACAAAAAGAATGAAATACCTAAGATTACAGCTAACCAGAGAGCTGAAAGATCTCTACAATAAAAAATATAAAACATTGCTGAAATAAATCAGAGATGACACAAAATATGAAAAAAAAAGTTTATGCACATGGATAGAATCAATATTGTTAAAATGGCCATACTGCCTGAAGCAATTATAGATTTGAAGTTATTTTTATCAAACTACCAATGATATTTTTACAGAATTTTAAAAATATATAAATTTCATATGGAGCCAAATAAAAGCCACAACAAAACTAAGCAAAAAACAAACAAACAAACAAACAAATACCAGGGGCATCACACTATGAAACTTCAAATTATGTTACAAGGTTACAGTAAGAAAAACAGCATGGTATTGGTAAAACAACAAATACATAGACCAATGGAACAGTATAAGAATCCAGAAATAAATTTGCACATCTACAGTTGTCTGATTTTGACAATGTCTACAAGACAAGCAATGGGGAAAGGACTTTCTATTCAATACCTGGTGCTGGGATAATTTGCTAGCCATATGCAGAAGACTGAAACTAGATCCCTTCATTTCAGCATGTGCAAAAATCAACTCAGGATTAAAGACTTAAAACCTAGCACTACAAAAATTCTAGAAGAAATCCTGGAAAATGCCATTGTGGTTATACACACTAGCAAAGATTTCATGAAGAAGTTGCCAAAAGCAATTGCAACAAAAACAAAAATGGACATATGGGACCTAATTTAAATTTAAATTTAAAAAATTTAATTCAACAAGAAGACTTAACTGTCCTAAATATATATGTATCCAACACTGGAACACATGGATTCATAAAACAATTACTTACTTTGAGACCCACAAGGACACTTAGATAACTACACAACAATAGGGGAAGAATTCAATGCCCCATTGAAAATATTAGACAGATTATTGAGACACCAAGAAAAGCTTCCACACAGCAAAAATAACTATGAACAACATAAACAGGCAACCTAGAGAATGAGAGAGAATATTTGCAAGCTATGCATCTGACAAATGTCTAATATCCAGAATCTATAAGGAACTTAAATTAACAACTAAAGCAAGAAAAAAAACTTCATTAAAAATGGGCAGAAGATATTAACAGTCACTTCTGAAAAGAGGATATACATGCATGTGAAAAAATGCTCAACATCACTAATCATTAGAGAAGTGCAAATAAAAACAACAATGAGATATTATCTCAAATAAATCAGAATGGCTGTTATTTAAATGTCAAAAAATAACAGATACTTGTTAGGTTGTGGAGAAAAAGGAAGTTTGTACATTGCCAGTGGGAATATAAATTAGATCAGCTAATGTGGAAAGCAGTTTGGAGATTTCTCAAATAACTTAGAACTACCATTTGACCTAGCAATTCTATTACTGGGTATATGCCCAAGGTAATATAAGTCATTCTACCATAAAGGCACATGCACGTATATGTTCATCTTAGCACTATTCACAATAGCAAAGACATAGAGTCAACCTAAATGCCCATCAACAGTGGACCAAATAAAGAAAATATGGTACATATACACAATGGAATATTATGCAGCCATAAAAGAGAGGTAGATCATGTCCTTTGAAACAACATGGGTGGAGCTGGAGGCCATTATCCTAAGTAAATTAATGCAGGAACAGAAAACCAAATAGTGTATGTTCTCACTTATAACTGGGAACTAATCATTAAGTACACATGGACACAAAGAAAGGAACAGCACATACCAGGTCCTACTTGAGAGTGGAAGGCAGGAGAAGGGTGAGGGTTAACAAACTACCTTATTGGGTACTATGCTTATTACCTGGGTGCTAAAATAATCTGTACACCAAATTTTTGTGACACTCAATCTACCTATGTAACAAACTGACACATGGATTCCCTGAACCTAAGATAAAAGTAGAAAAGAAAAAAAAACTAAATACAAAAACAACAATTAAAAATTCCTCTTAAAAAAAAACTAAAAGAAGTTTTAGAACTCTTATATATAACTCAAAAGCCAAAAGCTTTAGCCTTAAAAAAGATCATGACTATAAAAGATAAAGAAGCTAGAGTCAAATATTTTGCAGACCAGGTAGCTAAAGCAGCTGTCTTAACTAAAAAACTTAGTTCTCTAAACTCTTGTTTAATCCAAATTTTAAAATTAACTCCCTCAATACTGACAAAAGCTCAAGAGACTCCCTCGGATGCAAAAAAAAGAGAAGGTTTGCAAAACAAAAGGGGGAAACTATTCTTTTGAAAATAGTATATGGTATGTTCCAGATCTGGATAACAAACTCAGAATACCCACCAGATTACAATTTCCATTTTTAGAGTACATGCATAAATTGACCCAGTGAGATCCCAAAATTGATTAAATGGAAAAAGAATACTTTTATAAACCATCATTTACTATAACAGAAAAGTGGCATCTGGATATACCGTCTGTCCTAAATATAACAGAGGAAAATACTGTTATAGCACTCCTGAGCATTTTCCCTTATATCTTATATAATACACATTGAGGTCTCACAATTGGAGTTTAGCAGCTCCCTCCCCTGTGTGTGGACTTCAGGGCATTTAACCAGGATCTTCCCTTACCATTTCCATCACGGTTTGCTGTGCTCATCACAGAGGTATTCACGGGTGAGCTTGGGGGTCCAGTTACACCTAGAATTGTCTCCCTTTGGGCTGAATAAGAAACTCAGCGCATCAGACTCTCCACAGACCAGCAAATCACCTGAAACAGCAGAAAACACCTCCCAGTGGACAAAGATCAAGATCGAGTCATACCCATCTGTTTTTGCCAACGCCAGTTATTACCTATAGGCACCATCTACTGGCCAAGACGCTAAACTGCACAACCCAATACAAAATCTTTTGGAAGAAGTGCACAATGCTGGGGAACCAGATAAGCTTTATGAGACCTCTGCAATCAGGGTCTTGCAAAAGGAAGTGAGCCTGCTCATATGCTCAGTACATCACTATTGCAACCAGCACTTGAGAAAGCAACCAAACAAAGGATATTTATAACCAAAAAATTCATAAAAATCCTGGTTCCTTGAGAGCACATAGAATCAAAGCCACACAATCATACACAGCAAACATTAAGTCACATCCTCAAGGGAAAAGATTAGTTTTACCTCAACAGAAGTCAATCCAAAAAAATAGAGACAACTTCTTCTGATCAGAAGGAATTAGCATGAAAACTCTGGCTGTATATAAAAGAGCATTAGGACACCTCCAAAGGATCACAACAACTCTCCAGTAATGAACTCTAATAAAAATAAGAATTCTGAAATGACAGATAACTCTAAATATGGATTGTAATGAAAGCCAATGAGAGCTAAATGAAACTTGAAAAACAAAACAAATAAATCAGGAAAATAATTCAGGATAGGAAGGAAGATGTAGATATTTTAAAAACCTAGAACATCTGAAAATAAAAACTTCATTGAAAAAATTTCAAAGTACAGTTGAAAGCTTTAACAGTATGTTATACCAAGCAGAAGAAAATACTCAGAGATGTAAGATAGGTATTTTAAATTAACTCAGTTAGATAAAAATAATTAAAAACATCAACAAAGAGTTTGTGAAATGTGAGACTGTGTAAAGCTTCTAAGAAACTAAAAGTGGCAAGATAGAAGGGTCTAATCATCTGGAAGGAAATCCTAGCAGAGTAGCAGTAGATTTCTCAGGAAAAATCCTACAAGACAGAAGAGATTAAAGTCCTGTTTTTATTCTTCTTGAAACAAAAAAGTCAGTCAAAGTTTTGTATTCTGCTAAACTAGGCTTCAGAAAAAAAAAAAAAAAAAAAAAAAAAAAAAAAAAGCTTTAAAGTCTTTCTTAGGTAAACACTAAGGAAACTCATCGCGACTAGACTGGACATATAAGAAATGCCCAAAGGAGTTCTAAACACAGAAATAAAGAGCAACACTAATCATCATGAAAAGATATAAAATTATGAAACTTGCAGGATTTTTAAGGCTATTATACAATTGCAATTCCAAAGGTGCTAGATAATAATTAACATTATGACAGGAACAAAGCCTCACTTATCAATAATAACCTTGAAGATAAATGAACTGAATACACCACTTAAAAAATATAGCCTGGTGGAATGGATTTTTTAAAAGATCCAATAATATGCTACTTTACAAGAAACCACCTAACTGGTAGAGACATTTACAACATAAAGAGGTGATATTTATTTTTACAAAAACAGAAGCCAAAAGCAAGCAGGAGTAGTTATGCTTATGTCAGATAAAACAGACTTTAAATCAATAGTAAAAAAAGACAAAGAAAGATCTTACATAATAAAAATGGATCAATGCAACAAGAACATATAAACAAACTTGAATACATATGCACCTAACACCAGAACATATGATAATCGTGGGTGATCTCAATCCCCCACTGACAGCTCTAGACAAATTATCAAAGCAAATAAATCAACAAACTCTGGATTTAAATTGAATCATAGACCAAATAAACCCAAAAGACATTTACATAAAATTCTACCCAACAATTATACAATATATATTCTTCTTCTCCACACATGGAACATTCTCAAAAATAGACCATATCTTAGGCCACAAGGCAAGTCTCAATAAATTTTAAAAAATCGAAATCATATCAAGTATCTTCTCAGACCACAGCAGACTAAAACTAGAAATTAATACCAAGAGAAACTCTCAAAACTATACAAATATATGGAAATGAAACAAGCTACTTCTGAATAATTGTTTGGTCAAAATATGAAAATAAGGCTGAAATTAAAAAAAATAAAAATACACACATAACATATCCAAACCCGTGGAATACAGTAAAATAAGTGCTAACAAGAAAGTGTATAGCATTCAATGCCTACATAAAAATGGAGCTCAAAAATTAAAAACCTAATGTCAAAACCAAAGTAACCAGAGAAAAACAAGAGCAAAGTACACACAAAGCTACAAGATGAGAAATAATGAAGATCAAGGAAGAACAAAACAAAATTGAAACAACAACAACAAAAAAATACAGTTAATGACAAGAAAAGTCAGTTCCTTTAAATAAGCACAATCAGAAATGTTAAATGTGACATAACTGATGTCACAGATTAAAAAAATTTAAGAGACTACCAAGAATGTCTCCACACACAAACTAGAAAACCTAAAGGAAAAGAATAAGTTCCTGGAGACATGTAACTTCTCAATATTGAACCAGGAAATAAATTGAAATTCTAAAAAGCCCAATAATGAATAGTGAGATTGAATCAAAATAAAATAGACAGATTCACAACTGAATTCTACCAAAATACAAGAAATAACTAATACTAATCCTACTGAAACTTATCCAAAAATGTTAAGAGGAAGAAATCCCTCCAACTCATTCAACAAAGCTAGCATCACCCTGATACCAAAGCCAGGCAAAGACACACACATAAAATAAGAAAACTACAGGCCATTATATCTGATAAACATAGATGCCAAAATCCTCAGCAAAATGCTATTAAACTGAATCTAACAACGCATCAAAAACACAATACACCACAATCAAATGGTTTTGTTTCAAGGATGCAAGGATAGTTCAATATGTTCAGTTTGATAAATGTGATTTAACGCATAAAAAGAATTGAAAACAAAAACCATATGATTATCCCAATCGATGCAGAAAAATCATTGCATAAAATCCAGCACCCATTCAAAATAAAATCTGTCAACAACCTAGGCATAGATAGAACATATCTCAAAATAATAAGGCCATCTATGACAAATCTACAGTCAATATAATATTAAACAGGGAAAAGTTGAAAGTATTTTCTATAAGAACTGGAACAACACAAGGATGCCTAGTTTCACCCCTCCTATTCAACATAGTGCTGGAAGTCCTAGCTAGAGTGATCAGGTAGGAGAAAGAAAGAAAAGGCATCTACATTGGAAAAGAGGAAGTCTCTGTTTACTGATGACATAATTGTATACCTGGAAAACCCTCAAAAAGACTCCTAGATTTTGTACATAAATTCAGAATAGTTTCAGATTACAATTCTTCTTTTTTGTGTTTTCCACTTGCTTTGTAAATTTTTCTCCATCCCTTTATTTTGAGCCTATGTGTTTCTTTGCACATGAGATGTGCCTCTGGAAGTCAGCATAACAATGGGTATTTACTCTTTATTCAACTTCCCATTCTGTTTGTTTTAATTGGGCAATTTAGCCTTTTTACATTTAAGATTAATATTGTTATCTCTGGATTTGATCCTGTCATCGTGATGCTAGCTGGTTATTTTGCAGACTTGTTTCTTGTGGATGCTTCATAGTGTCACTGGTTTGTGCACTTCAGTGTGTTTTGTAGTGGCTGGCAGTAGATTTTTCTTCTCTTATTTAGTGCTTCTTTCAGGAGCTCTTGCATGGCAAGCCTGATGGTGGTAAATTCCCTCAGCATTTTTTGTTTGAAAAGTATCTTGTTTCTCCTTCACTTATGAAGTTTAGTTTGGCTGTATATGAAATTCTGGGATATAAATTCTTTTTTTTTTTTTTTTAAAGTTGCATATTGGCCCCCAATCTCTTCCTGCAGTAGGGTTTCTGCTAAGAAGTCCCGCTAGTAGTCTGATGGATTTCCTTTTGTAAGTGACCTGATCTTTCTCTCTGCCTGCCCTTAATACTTTTTCTTTCATTTTTATTTTGAAGAATCTGATCATTATGTGTCTTAGGGTTGGTCTTCTTGTATAATATGTTGCTGTAGTTCTCTGAATTTCCAGAATTTGAATGTCGGCCTGCCTTGTTAGGTTGGGGAAGTTCTCTTGGATGACAGCATAAAGTATGTTTTCCAACTTGGTTTTATTCTTTCCATCTCTTTGAGGTACCTCAATTACTCATAGGTTTGGCCTCTTTACATAATTATACATTTTTTTGAGGTTTTGTTCCTTCCTTTTTATTCTTTTTAAAAATATATTCTTGTCTATCTATCTTATTTCAGAAAAAAATAGTCTTCCGGCTCTAATATTCCTTCTTCTTGTTGGTCTATTCTGCTATTAATACTTGTGATTTCATCGTGAAACTCTCATGCATTTTTCAGCTCCATTAAGTCAGTTATGTTCATCTTTAAACTGGCTATTTTGGCTGTCAGCTCCTGTATTGTTTTATTATGATTCTTAGCTTCTTTTCATTGGGTTACAACATGTCCCTTTAGCTGAGCAAAGTTTGTTATTACCCACCTTCTGAAGCCTACTTCTGTCAATTCAGCCATCTCAGCCTCAGACCAATTATGTGCCCTTGCTGGAGAGGTATTGCAGTCATTTGGAGAAAAGGAGACACTCTGGCTTTTGGAGTTGCAGCATTTTTATGTTTATTCTTTATCATCTTTGTGGGTTTATCTACCTTCAACCTTTGAGGTTGTTGATCTTTAACGGGTTTATGGGGGGTCTTTTATGTTGATGTTGTTCCTGTAAATTTTTGTTTGTTTGTTTGTTTTCTTTTAACAGTCAGTCCACTTTACTATAGGGCTTCTGCAGTTTGCTGGGGTTCTGCTTCAGACCCTAGTTGTCTTGGCCTCTCCTAAACCTGGAGGTATCACCAGTGAATGCTGCAAAATAGCAAAGATGGCAGCCAGTTTCCCTCTCTGGAAGCTGGATCCCAGGGGTCACTGACCTGCCACCAGTCATGCACCACTAGGAGGCAGATGGGTTCTCTGTTGGGAGATCTCACCTAGTTAAGAGGGATGGTATCAGGTACTGGCCCAATGAAAGAATCTTGCTGCTTCT